TGAAGGTTTACAGTCATATAAGATACATGGGGGATATAAACGTATGGATAGCACATAAAGTAAAAGACTACGAACACTTAGGCTGTGGATGAGGTGATTTCCCCCCAAAATTAAATGTTGCTGTGTCAATCATGCCTTGAATTGGAAAATCGCCTCATCCACATCATATGTGTTCTTAGTCCTGATGGTATCAATATCAAACATATCTTCCTCTAAACGGTTATTATCTCATTTAAAATTTTAATTATTTTATTTTATTTTATTTTTTCTTTCGTATTATTACTTTATTCTGTCTCTTATCAGTATCACTTATGTATCATTAACATTTATATTTCTATTATTTCCTACTATTATATTATATATTATATATTAACAATATTACTTTTTTGGCGACTATATTTTTTTTTAGCCATCGTTTTTATTTTTTATTTTTAGATGTTTCATTCATTCAAAGTCAAATGTTTTAAACGTTGCTCCCGTCACACCTTGGAGACCTAAACACTCTCCTCTTTGTTATGTTTGTATAGTTCACTTCATGTTTGACTAAGTGGCCGGATGAAACGTTATTTGTGTTGTTTTGGGCACGTTTCCCAATTTAGTCAAGCTTTTTAGTCACAGTTCACTGGAATTCATTGTTTTAACTTCACTGCAGTCACCCCCATATTTTCCCCATTTACTGGACTGACTGACTTTCTACCCCACTAGGACATCACACAAGCGATAAACACCCAATGACACAAAGTGCCACCATGCGGATGAGGATCGCCATGGAGAGGTCCCAGAAACCGCGTTCAGACATTTGGCCATATTTATGGCCTACCTATATTGCGGCCCCCGGCAAAAGCCAGGGTGGAGCTTCAAATAAAAAATTTCATCCTGAAAAGGACGATAGTGATAGTAATAATAAGAATTACTATTCCTGTAGTGTAAAATTTACTGGATGCTCCTTCATCTAGCACACAAGGACATCTAACATTATAATATAGCTATTTTAACATTTTTGTGACATTTATTCTAGTTTGATCATAATATCTTAAATATGTCATTAATTGATTTATATGGGTAATATTATGCTTAGCATATACAGACAAGCATGTATATTATGGTGACATGTTGCTTCCTGTTTCTGAGCAGCTCTGTAGGTATATCTGTGAAAGTGAATTCCTTTCTCGTCAGGTCAATGCAGTGAGTCAGATTGTTCATGAGTGGATTCCCTTTGTGTTCCCGTTTTTCGCTCTCTAGAGGTAATGCCTAATTATAATTCTGACAGTCAGCAGTTTGAGTTCTTCAGTAGGCAAATATGCTATTCCTCTAATTAATGTTTACGGTATGTGCGTTTGAAGGGTGTCATGTTCCTGTTCAAGCAGTCAACTATATGTATGCAGGTCGTTCTTTCAATTTGTAATTTTAGACTAGTAACAATCTTGTTTTCCCTTTAAATTATTACTACCTTCTTCTTTAGTTGTTTCTTTCCTAGAGCATGTGTGTTCCTCAATTTGATTTGACTGAACTAAAAGCCTAAGTGTTCTCTCTCTGTCTCTCTCTCTCTCTCTCTCTCTCTCTTTCTCTCTCTCTCTCTCTCTCTCTCCATCTCTCTCTCTCTCTCTCTCTCTCTCTCTCTCTCTATATATATATATAATATATATATATATATATATATATATATATATATATAAATTTCTCTCCCCCCCCCCCCACCTTTTTTTAAATTATACCCATTTATACGAATTTGAACACTTGACATACAAGGCAACAGGCAGGCAGCCGATGGCCACTGAACTACAGCGGCTGCCGTCAATAATGTCATCTAAAAATCTTGCGTACCGACTCCCTAGCTCCTGAGCTGCAATCCACCCCCTGGCTAAATTTTATCATCGATCTGGATCTCAAATGGAGCTAATCTCAAATCTGTAACAGGAAAAGTCATACTGAAATAAAGATGGCCAGCGTGATATTGACAACATATTTCATCCAATGCCGATTGATCTATACAAATATCAGTCTAGCATTAAATGCTCTGATGCATCATCTAGACGAAAACGTACTTTTCCTTTGTGTAATAACAGCTACATGAAAGTTTATGATGACAGAAATCTATTAAATCATGATGGCACCATAAACTAATGATTGTTTGTTGGTTGTTTTTCTTACAGATATTAGTTTTGTGACGCCGTCCAACCAGTCCCATTCAAGCATCAACAACAACAGTGGTACCAGCAGTCCCAGCAGTCGGGAGCACCAGGCTGACTCTACCAAACTCGACAACCGCAGCGGCAATAATGCAACACCTATCAAACACTGTTATGATGATGATGAAAACGACGAAGATGACGACGAGGATTGCAAAAGTGAAATTGGAAACTCCGATAATAAATCTGGAAAAGATGTTTCTGACTCGCAAACAGACTCAAACAGCGGTGACCCGCCCAAGAAGCGGAAACGCAGGGTTCTTTTCTCTAAAGCACAGACATATGAACTTGAGCGGAGATTTCGCCAACAAAGATACCTTTCTGCACCAGAGAGAGAACACTTGGCTAGCATCATCCGGTTAACACCAGTGCAAGTGAAAATCTGGTTTCAGAATCATCGGTACAAATTAAAGAGATCCCGCCAGGAAAAAGGACTTGCAGATCTGAACCCCCTGCCCTCTCCAAGGCGAGTAGCTGTTCCGGTCCTGGTAAAGGACGGCATACCATGTCAGCGACCGTCCATGAACTCCGCTCTGAAAGCCTCAGACCATCAACATCATCTATCCATGCAGACGGGAATGTCAAACGCAATGAGCATGGGGATGAATACCAGCAGCCTCAATCACTGTATGAACGGATACGGTCACATGACATCGGGGGCGCAAGCCATTTCCTCCAGCTTGTCCAACTCGATGTCGATGAACATGAACATGAGCTGTTCCTACAACAACACAATCAGTCACTTGAACGTTCCCAGCGTCAACAACATGAATGTGTTGCCTGGTTACAGCCATCCGTTGATGCAGCCTCAGGGACGCTGGTACTGACGCTATGTGCTCCCTTAGTGGGCAGGAATATGTGTGGATCTGTGAGCTTGCAGGAATATGTGTGGCTTGGTGAGGGAGAGCGTGTGTACAGTGAGGGTACACCAGATCCTGTCGGGGTTCATAGTCAGCTGTTTCTTTGAGAATGCATTTTTTTCATGTCTTACTGTACCTAAACGAGACGTATCTCTTTCACTGTATTCGGTTATTACAGCAGTTACCATTTTTTCATCACTAGTTTTCACAGAAAAAAAGAAATGTGATCTAGACATCTTGTTAGATTGCAGCAACGCTAGTTACCAAATGTTCGCTGTTGGTTGTGATAACAGTTGCTGTAATTATTTTCCTATATCAATCACCTCAAAGTGTAGCCACTGGTTTTCCTTCAGCATTGCATGCGGTTTTTTTTTTCGCGGGGAAGCGGGGGGAGGGGTAGAAAGGGGGTGGCTAAAGCTTAAATTACGAAGTGTTAGTGCAAGCAAAATAAGGGTGTACAAATGAAATATGTGGTAACGACATTATAGACATTCTACGTACACATGGATTGACAGTTTCATCCATCGAGCCTGTATAACGAATTATTCATCCCCAAAACGCTTGACGGAAAAAGAAGAAGAAGAAGAAGGAGGAGGAGAAGAAGAAGAAGAAGTGATGATGATAATGGCAACGACGATGATAATAAAGAATATGACGACGACGATGTTGATGATGATGATGACCTCAACAAACTCATCGATGACACTTTCCCTACGTTTACCTACTAATCCAGTGGTCATGTGCTGGAATCTTCAACAAGCAGATATATTTATTGAAGTTATAGACCCGTGCTTACAAGTTCAGCCAGGTGGCCGAACATTTCCTTTTAAGTGATCGGTCAGTGTGATAGTGATGGCATCACTCATCCAGTACTGACTGGAGTACTGCGCTCTATATTGCTATAATTCAGAAATGGCATGTTTGCATATGTGGATGAATTAGGGGCGGTGGGGGTGTATACACCCTTTTGTATCAGACGTACTTGTGCAATTTTAAAAAACGTAAAATACAGTAACAGACGTGGATAGCTTAGATCAGGGCTATTTAACTAAGTTTACCGAGGGGCCAAAATTTGGATAATGAGGATCGTCACAGGCCAGACAGCTAAACCTTAGAATAGAAAGATCATTATTATAATACAACTGGCAATGATCCACGGGCCATTTGCTAGGCCTCAGCGGGCCAGATTTGGCCCTCGGGCCGCCAGATGAATAGCCCTGGCTTAGATGCTCGATAAAGATAGACCACCAAATTACTTTTCTAACAATATCTGTGATCACAGTTATAAATTTAAAATGATGTTACGATGGATACGCTGACACGCTGCCTTTTAGTGCCTGCAAGAACAAGACTAGGACTGAATATTTTTTTTTTTTATTTTAAATAGTATAATTCAAAAGATACAACAAAATAGGCCTCTCTTAGCAGATATTACGTAAGGAGCAAGTGGTTTGAAATGGTTCATTCTCTTAAAAATCGTTATGCTGAGTGATCGTTTGATGTGAGTGCTTAGCACACCTTCAACACACACTGTTGTTATCGAGATGACATATCAAATGTATAGACGGTTCACTAGCATTCCGTGTTCTTATTATTTCCTTATCTCCATCTTACAAGTAAAGTAACCTTAGAACTATCGAGCAAGACCACTGTTTCGGGACGTCTCAGTTGGATGCAAGCTTGATATTTATTATTCTGTGAACTGGTTGAAAGACGCTAAAAAGGAAGTCAACCCTGCCAACTATAGAGCGTGTTACAGCTGCAGCCAGACAACAGATAGAAGAAACACCATTTCTTTTGTCCATTTTCCGCTTTGTGCCGCTTGGCGTCGCAGGTTAACATATGATCAGTTTCCGAGCTAGGGCGCGCTTGGTTACCCGGTATGCTGTGATATCGTGCAATCTCAAGATATCAGTGACTCCTTCAAACCATTTTCTTCTTGGTGGTCACCTACTTCTTGGTGTCTCTACTTTCATGATGTAAGCTCTAGTTGCTGGCATCAATTGATTCATTCTCATTAAATAGCTAAACAGTTTAGTCTGTTTTTTAAGGAGTTTAATTATAGGCGTCTTTCTAATAGTTCTTGTAATTTCCTCGTTGCACAAAATATCTCTTCTAGTTTTGCTCACGGCCTTTCTCAAACATCTCATTTCGCAGGTGGCTAGTTTTCTTTCGTGATCTATAGTCAATATACACGTCTGACACTAATAGCATAAGGTTGGTATTAAGATTGCATTTATAACTGGTCTTTTTATCTCCACATGAGATAGCTGGGTGTTTCCAAATTGGAATCAGTCCATTTGTGGCATTGTTGGCTTAAAGAAATACAATGACATATAAAATGTGCTTCTAGTATTGGTCAAATGTGACAGACATGAGAATCTAAGAGATTATCTGAACAGATTGCAAACCAAATAGTTTGTGTCTGTTCCATCTCTCAAATTTGAATGCAGTAAAAACAAGCATCATCAGTAGCAGCATGTGCCGTGCCGATAAGCATAAACAGCCATGGTTCACTATTCACAAGACCACCATAATCCCCCATCTAGTGGGTGTTTTTGTGCGCCAGTACCACGTGACCAAGTCCAGTTATGGATTACATAGCATCTACGAAGAAGTTCATTAGTCACTGCTTTTTTTTTTTTTCATCACACTGACCAGACTGGTCGGATAAGAGTAGCGATTTCAGTGTAGCGATTTCAGTGTAGCAATTTCATTGTAGTGATTTCATCTTCTTTTTAGCGTAGCGTACATCGATTATAAACTACGGCTGAAAGTGTCGGCTGTTCATCCATTATTGAAATCTGGTCTTGTTGAAGAACTGAGTTTCACGTTCACATCCGTTGTAAGATCTGGCTTAGTTGTATGCTGATTTACAGTAGCTTTCAGGTTTGCCTCACATTGTTTATAGATCAGCAGTATATTTTCTGGTTGACACGTCACACTGAAGCGATATTTACTTGGAAATCACACAGCAGAAAATTCAACAACTGTGTTCTGGTAACACTTTCAGTTCTGTACCTCATTGAGAAAGTGTGTCTTCAATGCCTCTTTTGGTGGCAAGTATTCGTTACTCTTATCCTTCTTGTATAAGAAGTTGAGCAATGCATGCTAAGGTCTCATCAAATTCAACAAAGACATTAAGTCACTATTTTCTTATTGTGTCATTATATGTCACATAGGGCTGCTAGTAGATTCCTCCCTGTTCAGTCAGTCCAATATCGTGGCTGGAGTCTAATCCAGCACCTTCAGCTTCTCTCATCAACTTTCGCTTTAAGCTTTCTCTTGGACGTTCTCGTTTCCTAAATCCTTCTATTTCCCATATCATTGCCTGTTTGGTTATTCTCTCGTCGTTTTTTTTTTCTTTTTCTCTCTCTCTCTCTCTTTCTCTCTCTCTCTCTCTCTCCGTCTCTCTCTCTCTCTCTCTCTCTCTCTCTCTCTCTCTCTCTCTCTCTCTCTCTCTCTCTCTCTCTCTCTCTCTCTAGGATATAACAAATACATCGCAATCTTCACTGCTTCACTGACTATTGATATTAGTGATTGCCCAAACATATCTCTAATTGCTTCACCACTCTTGAATTTATTCAATTGTATGTTCATTCTTTTCCCCAGGCATTTCTTTTCGAACGCGTTTAATTTTGTCAGCATCTTTAGTTCAACTGAGACAATATGGACACAAATAGCTGAAGTAATAATTCAGATTCCAAGTGCTAAAGTAATGTTGTGTGTGAAGTAAGACAGCAAGAGCATCATAGAATGTATGGAATGACCGAGAAACAAGGTGATAGGTTTGGGCACCTAGAGTGTTATACAAAACATAAAATCATAGCAGAAGGGGAGGGGTAAGTTGAAGCCGGAGGAGGAGAAACGAGAAGTTATAGGTAGAGGAGACAAAAGAAGTTTTTATTTGTTTCTGACGCGAATGACTTTAGTAATGCAACATTGATAGAAATCGTTTATGTGTACTTTTTTTTTTTTAAATACGTCATTGTCGCATGTTGTAAAACGATAAATACAAGTCTGTTTGTGGGAAGCTAGTCAGGTATGTCATACAAAAACAAAAACAAAACTGATGGGCACTAAACTAATACTGGCGACATGTTGTTTATGTGGTGTTGGTGGAGTCAGTCCACACGTGAACTGTCCCCGGACACACACGGCATGGGTGTTGGTGGAGTCTGTCAACACGTGACCTTTCCCCGGACACACACGGCTTGTGTGTTGGTGGAGTCTGTCCACACGTAAACTGTCCCCGGACACAAACGGCATGTGTGTTGGTGGAGTATGTCCACACGTGAACTGTCCCTGGACACACACGGCGGCATGGGTGTTGGTGGAGTATGTCCACACTTGAATTGTCCCCGGACACACACGGCATGAATGACAATTATACTGATTGTCTATGACTGAGCTGGTACCTTCGGAATCGTTACTCTTCACTGGCAACTGAAGATGAGAAAGGAGCGCTGATGCGAATGTTTCGAGTGGTGTGATGTCGGTTCTCGACTCAAGTAAACTGTTTAACTTAGGTGGTCACCCAGCTGTTGTGCAGTGCATGCTGATCTTGGACGCGACGTGCTACCAGAATTGATTGTACATTTGTTAAACAAGCAGTTAAGTTTCATGTCCTAATTTTATTACGTAATTTTCCATATACTGTATCAATCTGCCATTAACATGATTATCAACACTTGAGCCTTCTCTTCGTTTTATGTTTATATTTCTTAGTTATGTAGTTTCTGTTTTTAGTTCTGTAATGTTTTACAATAAAACTGTATTGTTTATGTATGTTGTGCAAAGTAGTCCTCGCACTGTGTATTGACGAATGAGAAGAATTGCACAGTGCAGCGAACATACCGCTTTACATGCCGCTTTCAAATGCGGCTTGTTCAGAAAATGCTTTACTGGACACTGAAAGGCTAGACAAGAACATCTGGAAGACCAAAACAAAAGAAGTAAGTGGCCAC